CGTTACAGGGGCTCCTGGCATCGCTACTAGGAGCGAGGACGCTACTACAGGCTCCTGGCATCGCCATCGTTCTAGTTGTACTGCGAAATGCAATTGTTTTTTTTTCCACCCAGGTCTCGGTCCAGATCCCGTCGCCGGCGCTAGGCCGAGACGGTGGGCGGTTTTGGGAGTTGGGGACAGGGGAGCTGCGAAATGGGGAGCCAAACCTCATGGACACGAAACACTTGCATGCTTTTGTTGATGTTGGAACTCTTGGCATATTTCCCAATGGTTTGTTCATTCTGTCTCACTTCATTTTGACCGGATGCCGAGGACTGGCCTTTGGTGCAAAATGTTGAGAATTTCACCTCCGTGCGTTGGCGCACAATGTACATGTCGTCCAGAGCGCTGCCTTGACCAAGTAAGCCCTGTAGGGTGCAGCAGTTGAGTCGGATGTTAAAACGAGGTCTTGTTCCATACGTCTAAGAACAATTTGGCACCCTGAAACAACTTGGCCAAGTGCTCTCAATGAACCCTCGAGAGGGGTGCTTCTGTGTGTCCTAAGTGTATCAAACTTGTCCCCGGATGTCCCAGTGCAATTAATACTAATCAATTTGCCTTGGCTTTATGCATTCCCGATCACCATATTGAATGGTATATCTACCGTTATATTCCTTAACCACCTCTCGAGGCGGCTGGCTTACCCACTCAGGTCAAGCGTTAGAAACAAAGAAGTACCGCCCCGTCTGGAAACAGGCGAGAAAACGTGCGCTGCTTGAGACTTTTGGCGTTCTGCTCACACAGAAAGGGGGGCCAAGTTGATGACCGATGAATCCTGGGCCGTGTCTTTGAATTACTTATAATTACTTGGCTCAAATGGTGAAGCGGCTGGAAGGCAAGGGCAAGGCCGGGAACATGACCCAGGAAAGCAAGGTCATTGAACAGTATTAATTTGATGTATGTATGTGCATGTATGTGCATAATTGATATATATATATATGACATAAGTGTATACTAATTGACTGGACTGTATATTTAATAAGTTACAGGGCCAGGGTGTTCCATTTTCCACGCGTGGCCTATCGCCATAGACATTGCATAGGATCAGTGAAGCTGAAGCTGCCCCCAAACACATAAGCCACGCACTCCAGCCACACTCCCCGGCCATCCAGCAGTGGTGGCATCTCCAAACGTTGTCGGCCCCTTGGATGTCCTTTGCTGTTTTTTCTCACTTGTGTGCCTCGTACCTTCATCTTGCCGCGCAGCGGAACGCCACAAGATATCCGCCTTCCTGATAGCTATATCCTCTGACTCAGGGAGCGATTCCAAAACATGACAGTGACTACAAGGAGACAAACTGTGGACCAGTGCCCCGTCACATTCTGACAAACCTGGCGGGGAAACCCGGTGTGCATATGTCATTCGATCCTCGATTGGGTAGGGAGGCAGTTTTTTCGAGGCGAAACGGCGAGATCATGCCAGATCCGAAAATTGCAGGACAACTGTTCGAGGAAGACTATGAAAGATTTTCAGGGAGAGACGGGATGCTGCGAGATCAACATGGAACGTGCCAAACATGCACTTTTGCACCCTGGCACTAACATGGAACTAAATTGGAACATATTGTTTTTGTCAACGATATGTTTTTCCCCCGGAGCATCATTCTTTGAAGTTTGCCAGGGTTTGGAGATGTTTGGAGCATGCCAGCATATGAATGCCATGCAATCGCAACCATTATATAAAGGTTGAAGGCCCTTGAACACATATTCAGAAAATATGCGTACTGTAGACATGCATTGGACCGGGTTCCACTGCCTTTCCTTAAAACGCCGACCTTGGACCAATGCTGCAACATAATTCTAAAAAGGCACTCTGCCCTGCTTCCCACTTTCCCACACGAAATGCTTGCTGCAATATGCAAAGGACTGCATATATATGATACGTACAGCAGTATAGTTAACTTTCTGTCGCTGGCATGTTGCTTGGTGCGAAGGAGCGTCAGTGCGTCACCTGAAAAGCATTGAATGGTGGAGCACAGCAGAATTATGAGCAACATTGAGCAACCATGTCGGGACCAAGGACATCTCATGGGGCATCTACGGCAAAATTCGGCAAGCGGAAACAAAAAGCACTTAAAGAAAGCGTCAAAGGACATTGCGAGCAGTCAAACCTCCGGTTGATAACCGTGTGTGGCCCTGGTATCAGTCAGGGCCAGATTTACCGTGGACCATTTGATCCTAGAATTCTGGGTGGCCTCCCCCGGTTCATGTTAGTTTTGCGCGCCTCTAACAAGGTTGCAATGGCCTCCATCCCAATAGCGATGGCCTCTACCCTTTAACAAAGGTCCAAATGTAATAGCGCACATATGCGTGCATAATGAATTTTTACCGTACCTCATGTCCATTCCTGCAGAATGGCGTGCAGAAGGTCAAGACAATTGCAAGACACCGGAGTGAGAAACGACGGCCAAGACATCTCAAATGAAGATGGAAGCACGATACCCACATGCGCTGTTCCTATGATTTCTGCCAGAAATCCCAGATGTAGACTCTAGACATGCTGCTCCCAGCTGATTGCCTTGCTTTCTTCCGGTGAGGTGATGCGGAAGGTGACCGCCGGGAGCCCAGGACCGAACCCGTGGTGACCGGGCCCGGCGGTAGCTGCGTCAGGTCCGCAGCTTGACGCGGCCGCCCGGCAGCTCCTGGAAGTACGAGGAGCCCGGCATCGGAGGGCCAAAGGTGTAATTAGGAGCTGAGAACACATGGTCACATGGCGCGACATGCGACACATGTGGTGACTGAGGACCCACCCTTCGAATATCTTCAAATTGTTTGACCTTTGGATGGCTGTGCTAGGGCAAGGAACAGATGAATTGAACCATCCTTGAGATTTGAGGATGGAAGATTGATGATTGACATGAAGCAATTCCGTTTGGCTGTTGTTGAGGACTTCTGCGCACGAGCCGCTGAAGAGATCAGAAAATGCGGAGTGTACATCTATGAGGAGCCAATGATCAGGCAGGACAACGACTGCTCTCTTAAGAGGTGAAACACATGTACAGATCTATAGAAACACAGAACACTTCACCGTGGAAACAAAGAGTTTGTTTGCAAGGATGTGATGTCGATGTTTTGATCGTTTTTGCATGCTGAGCTGAAACACGAAGGCCTCCTGGACCCTTTCGAGTGCAACGCCATTTGCCAGCCGTTGGCGTGACTTTGCACATATTTGGGCAACCTCTTGTGCCAACAACTTGGTGGCAAGCCTGCCAAACTTAATTCTTCTTGTAGGAAGTGCAAGTAGGGGATTGACTCTAAGGGCACCTTTCATGCCCCTTAGTAGCGTCCTTGCTCCTAGTAGTAAGGCCAGGAGCCCCTAGTAGCTTCTTGCTCCTAGTAGTAAGGCCAGGCCCCTAGTAGCGTCCTTGCTCCTTGATTGACTATGATTGACTCTAAGGGCACCTTTCATTTCTTTTATCACCTTCCTTGCTGCGTAAGTTCTCCTGCGCGGAATCCGGCCAAGCGAGGTATATAGTTCTGTTGGATTGGCGTCGTTGACTGAGGAAGTTCCTGGACTTCCGCTTGACCTCCAGGCAGGAACATGATGAGTTCTTGCTCCAGTCAAGGCACGGGCTCTCACAGGCTATAGGAAGTGGTGAACTTTTTTGCATGGGGCCTGCATGATCTTTCGACCGATTCCGTTGAAGATCCAATGTGGCAGACATTGCGAAAGAGCATCCGTGCTATGATGGCTGATTCCTTCTCCAGATGGGACCCTTTACTGCCAGAAGACGTTGCTAGACTTGCCGTGCGATGCAGAGCCTAAGCCTTTAGAATTGTGGCTTTGTGTGATGGTTTCCAGGAGCTGTGGACTTCAGCAACATGTTTGTGCACTGCACTCGATGTTCAAGTGTTTCCCCGCCCATGAGCACAGAGGTAAACACAACAAAATTGTTTCTAAGAATAGCTCGAGATTCTGAAAGAGGCTGAGGGTAAGTTCATGGTTCCGGGCCAAGGTAGGCCAAGTACACACTGCGTAAAGTACTCTGCATTCATAGCTTTGTTTGATATTGTGCGATTACACCATTCTACGGAGCTACTAGTGATGGCAGAGCAACACAAGGAGTCAGGAGTACTTGGCCAGAGCTACACTTACAGTATACACTTCGCACCACGTGATTGTCCAGATGCACAGCATCCTTGCCATGTGGAATGCATGCACTTGATTCTCATCAGGTCCTTGAGCTCTAACTAGCTACGTAGTGATGGCTAATGATTTCCATCCGCTTGTGCTTGTCCATTGCGGGCGCTGATATTGAACATCAAAATTAATGTGCCTGAGTCGCGGCCCTGTGCTCTTGAAAGGCAACAATTATATAAATGCTTTGGTGCGGGTCATTGCGTGTTTTCAACACATTGGCCCCAAAAGTTGCGACATTTTGTGACGCGTTTTTTGGACAATTATGTTTTTGTGGGCTGCGCCAATTGCACCAGCAGCACAAGCAAAATGCCTTGCTGCGGCACATGTTTAATCTTGAGAGTACGACGCCCTGGAGGTGTGTGTTTTTTCAGTGTTTTTTGCGTTTTTCTATGATTTTCAATAGATTTTCTATGTTTTCGTTGCATTCACCCATCTGGTACACATCACTTGTGCCCATAGCCTGCTGCCCCTTTGCCATGATCTTATCAACAGATTTCCTCATCAAGCTTTTAAACACATAGCTAAAGTCTGTATCTGTGAATTGCATCATAGCTGTCATCTTTGGAGAAATGATAGACTGTAGCTGATGGACTGCATACATCTTCTTGTATGTATCATCGCTAAATGAAGCAGCAAAGCAATCCCTCTGATAGATGGATACTGGATACATCCTCCCTTGCTTTGCAATGACCCATGACATAATGATATTGTCCTGATTGGAGGATGGTTGGGAATAAACATCATAGTGCTCCAACAAATGAGGATGACCCCTTCTTGATCTTGACCCGTTGCTCCAATTCCCTCCTGGCACTCTCTCCCTTCCTATGCAGCTTGATGTCTCCCAAATAGTTAAATGATTCATCCTCAATCCACCTGCCTTTGTCATCAGTGTTGTCCAATCTTGCATGTTGCCCAGATACTATGAGCGCCCCCTTGCCCACATGTCCAATGGGGTCCTCATCAGGGTTGAAGAAATTGCTCACCAGCTGATGGGCCTCAACGGTAATCCTCATCTTCTCAGTTGCTGAGTCCGTCATGATAGTCAAATGAGCTCTTCCCCCACCCTTTTGATCCTCAGTGGTCACCAATTGCCAATCTTGCTTCGTCTGATCATCCAATGCCTCAAGGTCCTCATTGGGTTCCTGTCTCATGGGCTTGTTGGTTCAGATCATCTTGAAGGTCCCCCCTAATCTTTTTGATGGTCTTCCCATGTGTCCTGGTCTCATGGCCTGCAAATACAGCCTTAGTTGATCCCTTTTTCACCCATACAGGAACCTGATCTGAGAATCCAAGCATACATTCAGGCTTTGCCACAAATTCCTTCAGATCTTCATGCCCCATGGACACAAGCCTCATGATATAGTCATGGTGGTTCCATGCCAATTCTGCTGAAATCTGCTGCTCCTCATTGCTCATGGGCGCCAACGCGTTTGGAGTCATATGTTTGGCACCAATAGCATCCATAGCATCTTGGCCCTCCTGTCCCTTTGCTTATACCCCTCTTTGATGCTCTTCATTTGGGATTCAGTCCTTTCCAATTGATTGATACAAAGAATCTTCTGGGGCCCATCTTCCAGCTCATCCCTTTTCTCCTCAAGCTTGACTTTCTCCACTGATAGCAGCTGAAAATATTTCCATGCAAGATCCATCTTCTGCACCCCATGCCCATAACTCCTTTCCCTTTCCAACCATGTCTTAACCTCACCAACCAAGTGGGGGAATTGTTGCTTGGCAACCCCCACCTGATGCCCTGACTCTCATGTGGTTCCCACCTGATGCTTTCTTCCCTTTGCTCAATCCACTCTTTTGCGTTCTCTCATCTGCTGTTGTGCTTTGCTGATGCTTCAGAATCTCTGTCTCCCACTTGGACCTTTCAGCATAAATCCCCTTCAACACATGAGGTCTCATCAGGATTGTCCTATTCCATTTCCTTGCGCATTTTCCTTTCTGATTCTTCAGTACGCTCTCCGTTTCGGGGGGGGGGGGGGGGGGCCAAAAAAAAAAATGGGCTCTGCCTCAAATCAAGACCACCAATTTGTTTTTTTGTCGACCCCCCCCCTTTGGGAAACTCTTTGCGGTCCATGTCTGCGACGATGGCGACATTGCGATGTCTATGCGATGTCTGCTACTGTGATGTGGCGCGTGATGCGACAGTATCCTCCTACATTTTATCCTTGAATAAGAATACCTCCAGCGCGTAGATAGTAAATTTGTAAGAAGACTAGAACATTGGGAAAACAGACACCTCCACAACGTCGTGTTCTGTTAATTTTTGGTACACGGCGCAGGCAGGAGGGTTTACAATGCAATCACACACATAAGCAGTATAAGTATAAGTATAATATATAAGCACCAAAGTGTCCATGTGCGGCCCGTGAGAAATTCCAAAGCTAGGGAAGATGCAAAGATAAGATAACAAAAAAAGGGGCTAAAATGACACCAATGACATCCAATGACAATGCTGTGAGTTTTAGCCGGGACACTGTTCTGGAACCGACGATAATGTTCTGAAACCGATTATGCTATTACCACATTCGATGACAATGGTGTGACCGCCGGTGACAATGTGTCGAAACCGATGACAATGTTGTGACAGATGAGCAGCTGATGGCAATGTTATCACTATGAAAACGATGTTAAGAAAAAGTAAGGAATTCCCAGGGCTGGGAATGCAGCACCAGCCAACAGCAACCCTGGCGAGAGAGAGAGACAGAAGGAGAGAAACTGGAGGAGAGGGAACATAAAGGAACAAGAACATCATGCTTTTAGTTGGGCAAGGTACTACTTTGAGACCGGTAGTGCTGACAAGTGGGCCCTCATGAAGGCAGACAACGTCCCCGTTGCCCGATGGGTGCACTGCGCGTTGTTGGACACCTTCTTACGCAGCACGCATGTGAGTTTTTGCGGAGAGGAATGGGTGGATATCGCGAGGACAGGACGGTTCACTCCATTGACTTGGCGGACTTGACAGGACGGTTGCACTTGAGAGGCAAAGATACGGCTGAAGAGCTTGAACGGTTTATATATATTGATTGCTTATGTCACATGTCGGTGTTGGCTTCGAACATGGAATGGCGAGCCTCTTCCTTCGAATCACTCTTTGGAATGAGTCGAGTGGAAGTGTCAAAGTTCCTGAGCTCAGGAAGTGGAACTCTGTGAGAAACGACGTTGTTCCGACACCGAACGAGAGAGGGCAAGGACAACCCAGCAATTTTGTCGTAGACCAGTGGTTTCTGGCGGATAGGCGGATAGATCTCGCGAAGTTGAATTGGAATTCGACGGCTTTGTTTGGCTCACTCGTTGCACCTCTGGCCTACACTCGCCCCCACCGGCTGCTGTGAGTTGGAAGCCCAACTTGCTCGTGAGAGGAGGGAAGTAGAGCAGAAAGTTCTGCCTCGTGTGACACGGAAACTGCAGCACAGATTGGGATCATGTGGCCGTATATTTGTTTTGAATGCTGCTTGGCAAATGCTTTGCTGCTTGTGTGTTCGTGTGAGCTGGGAGTCGCTTTAACTTGGTCCCCTCGGTGGTTGTGACCCAAGAGCTCCAGAACCGAAACCGGTCGAACGGAGCTGAAACGGAACGGCGCCGCAGGCCGCAGTTCACACACCCCGGCTACGTGCGGTGTCATCCAGGCTCGGTGATTTCAGGAGATGGCTGCAGGTGGTCACTCTATGCCACTGTTGCATTTGGAGGAATTCCTCCAGATCTGACTGCCCAATGCTGAGTGGGAGGGGGACAAAGATGCCGCAACTCGATACTAATATTGACATCCGGTATGCCGTACATATCCGTACATCAACGTTTCAAAACTGAAAGTTTGATTGTTTACATACTTCCTGCTTATCTCCTTGCTGACCAAGGCACATCGGCGAGAATGTACGAGAATACAATGCAACACATACACACACACACATATATATATATACATATAGTAGACAATGCTCAGCAATTTTGAACTAGTTCTCGCAAATATGACCAGTTTTGCACCAAGGCCATGGCAAAGTCTCAAGACCTTCTACCAGGGAAAGGCATGACAGCAGATGCACAGGGTGACCGAATTTGTGGCATGCTTTCTGACACATTTTGGTTTCAAGCCTGGGGCAAACTCTTTAGCAGGGCTTTCAGATGCTTTCAGCAGCCTCAATCACCAGTTGGCCGGAAGCACATTCTGGCAGGAGACAAAGACCCCGGCCATCTTCGCCTTGGAAGAGGTGATCTTGGTAGATCAAATCTCGACCGACGATACATCGTCTCTTGGTGTGGCAGCTGCAATTGTAGCAGGTGCCACCTGACGGAGATGGAGATGGAGGTATCGAACTTGACCATGTGAATGCGCGGCGCGGTTAGGCACTGCAAAGAAGTCATGTATTTTCTCTTAAAAGGTTGTTGTGACGTAGAACGCCGAAGCCACACTCCCAGACCAATTATCCTTATCCTAATCGCACAGTGGTGAAACTCAGCTGTAGGCTGAGCTAATACGCCTCCCGCAGCGCGCTGTTGCAGCGCACTGTTGAGTCGTTGGAACGGTCGACGATGGTGTCGTCGCCAGGGCAGCAATTTCGCTTCTCGGAAGCCAGCGCCTCAGATTTGTGCCGTGCGAAGGCACAGAAGGCTAGGCGGAGAAATGGCATGATGTTCATAGATTTCGACACCTCACTCCTGACACAACATGTTTGAGACTCCTTGTGCAATAGCTTAATTGCTTAGATGGTCGCAGTGGTAAAGAGTTTGCGCGGTTGCAACTGTGCCGGTTGGACTAAGGTCCAAAGCTTCAGAGGTTAGAAGTGTCCTCAACCTAGATGCGCCGGACATCAGGTCGTTGTGAGCCGGATGTTTGCAAGAGGCACTTGGCAGGTTTAGAAGTTTCACCGGAATTTTCAGAAGGGACATGGCTTTCCCTTGTGGACATTCAGCCCCGGCTTTGAGGGCAAGTGCGCTCGACCCCTGTTGATCAATTGACTACTTGTTTCCTACATCCATCCCGCTTCGACCCTTTTTGGATCGGTTCAGGTGCAGGAGTACAACCCCGTTCAGTGTGAGTGGAAATCAGAGCTTTTGCATTTATTGGGCAAGCTACAGCAGGCTTACATGGCTCAGACAAAAACGCTTTGAGGCTCAGATGCGCAGCTGGAAGCGCTGGAGAGCCTCGCAGCTTAAAACTCTTTCTGTCAGTTTGGGTTCACCGCATTTGGCTTGGATCACGGAATTGTAGAACATTGCGCCTTACCAAGCGAACATGGACAGAAGACCTCAGGCGCCTCCTAACCAGACAACGATGCCAAAGGTGATTTCCATGAAGGGCCTTGAAGACACCCAAATTGTACTGCAGAACAGGCCGGCAGGTATTTTTTGCACAATGACTTCAGACATGATGGAGCAGCTTGAGAAGACGACGCTCCAGCGTGTTCTGGCAGACTCAGCCATCACTACTCAGCATGTTTGGCCAGGCAAGTGCTGCTGGAAGAGACCAATGCAGGACTGGAAGGTCCCCAGCCCTCCTCAAATTAACATGGCTGGGACTCCTGTAAGTATTGTAAGTCACTGTTTTGCAAGGAGATTTCTATCCGTGGTGAAGGGCCACGGGTTCCAGCTCATGGAAGGTAAGCAGTGGAATCCGTGTCATTTTCGTTTTTGGAGACTTGGGGAGCACATGAATGTATATACTCAAAAGACGCAGGTGGCTCAAAAGACTCAAGGGGAGTCACAGCCGCCCCTCATGGAACCGAAGAACTCTTCTGCCGGTCTGGTGCGCTCCGAACGGCGCCGCCAGATGCAGCTGTATCGCCAAGTGTACCTCGAAGAGTTCCTGAAAACACATGGTTTCAAGGATGTGCATCGAGCCAGATCTGGTGGATTGGGATGCCTGTTTCAGCGTGACTCCGTTTACCCGCTCCATGTGGCTGCGATCTATGGCGATGTCGATCTGGTCCGTTTGCTCTTGGCCGCGGGTGCGGACCCCGAGAAGGAGAACTCGAAAGGGCTCAGCGCCTTTGAGGTCGCGAGGCGGGAAAACAGGAATGGATCCCATGAGGATGTGCTGCACTATCTGGGCCAAGAAGTGAAAGTCCTGAGTCTCCGAGGCGCCATGAAGCTGATGAAGTGTGAGATGGTGGAGGAGACGTTCACAGTTTCCATCTAATTAGAGATATTGGCAAGGGTCAATCTAGTTCACTTTTCCTAGCTTGTCAGCTGCAAGGGCTGCAAGGGTGGAAGTTCGTGGTCGCCCGGCGGCCCTTTTGGATAATGCGTGTGTTGTAGAGCCGTGGTGGCCAAAGCATGGGCTTTGGTTACACATTTTGACAGCTTGCTGTTCTCTCACAATGCATGGCCCACATTGGCCCGCACCTCCGTAGTCTTTGTTGCCAGTTGCCACTTGGGAGCAAGAGAACAGCAGCTGGAAGCTAGCAAGGTATCTCAAACCAGGAGAGGATTCGTTTGGACGTCTCCTGGATCTTCCTTGGGATCTACTTCGAGTAGATTCGTCGCAAGCTTGTTGACTCCTGTCTTGTAGGAAAGCTTGCAAAGCAATGAGCAGAGGAAAAGGCAGCGGGCACGGTCGAGTTTCGACTTGTGATGTTTCTGCTTGTTTTGCTGAGTGACCGACTAGCCCCTCTCAAAATCACGACGGTTCATTTGAACGTCCTTGATGCAAGAATTGGTCTCGAAATGACCCTCGACGCTTCCCCGGCCCCAAACGGGGCATGATATAGAAACGAGATGAAACGAGAGAGGCTTGTTTGGGGCCCACGTCCTCGTGGTCGTTTTTTCGGCATCGAAACGCCAAAAAGGCTCCACCCGCGCCGCCCGTCACCAGGACTTATGGGTGGCGCCCCCTTCCTGACTGATCCCGCTGAGCGGGACTCAGCCTAAGCGCCAAGAGAAACAAGTGCACATCCCGCTGCTCGTTGTGTGTATGTCGTTGGGTTGCCGATCTGTTTCTATGGTCACCACAATTTGTGGACACAACCTCACAAGCAGGGTTGAAAGAAAGCTCTGTACAGATCCGTAGGGTAGTTCTGATGGAAACTGTGCCTGAGGCCAATGATGAGAGTTTGCCGAGTTGTTCACAGAACCCTACCAAAATCCAAGCTCCATGTCAAGAACAGTAGAACCGCGGTTAGGAGGGTTGGGATTTCGCAGAAGGTTTTTGGATCCAACGGTGCCGGAGCTAGAGCTGCTGAGCCTTGCTGAGTCTACTGTAAACTGACTCGAGGCTCAAGTCGCAACAGGAAAGCAATGCCTGTCAGCAAAACCAGCACTTCTCATCCCCCAACAGTATGGACCAACCAAACAAATGGAGAAGCCTGTGTTTCGCGCTGATAGTCTTAACTCCTTCATGCACACCAGGGATCCTCTAAGCAATTGCAATTGTTTGCTGCTGATGGATGAAGAAAGTCCATTGACCCCACAGGCGAGGATTGAGACTTTTGGCTTGGTGGGCAGCGCTGTCCGTTTTCCAGTGCTGTCCAACCAGATGTTTGCAGAGTCTTTTTTGGGTGGCCAACTGCTATGCAATAGAGCGTGACGTATGTGTGTGTGTGTTTCCATGTCTTGAGGATTGGGCCACGCGAATATATAATAAACTCAGACATTCAAACGTTGTTCAACTGTGACAACTCTTGCACGAGCAGTTGAAGACCAGTCTCTATATGCCACTATTCAGTCCAGAGAAGAGCAGTTGAAAGACTACAAACAAAAACAATCATGTAAGAAATTATATAGTATTCGCATGTCCGTTCTTTTCTGGAAGCATGCTCAATCCCCTGTAAAAGGATATAGGAAGAAAAGACAACGATAACCCCTGGTGACTCTTGCGCAAAACCATGTGACAAGTGTGGACCGCTGTAACCTTGTGCTACAGCATTGTCGTGCCACATGCTTTTCCAACTTGCAGCAGGCATGAAAACGATACGTAACAAAACGATAACATAAAAGATAACACAGCGAGCCTAATGTCTTCATGTCTGCAAGGTTCCACACACCACATGCATATCATGCATGCAGTGCACACACTACAATTGGTGCAATTAGTCAACGTGCTGTAAAACGATAAAGCAGGAAAAGAAACGATGACGTCAAAAGTGGTATAGGGAAAGGTAGAGGTTTTTTTTACACCACCTCAGTCAGTTGTCAACAGCAGCCCCAAATGCAGAGATTGAGGAAATATGTTTGGCACACCTCAACTGCACATGGAAGACTTGATTGGGGTTGGTTGGCTTTGCTCCGGTGACAGCAGCGCCTGGCAGGGTCTCTTGAGGTGGATTGTGTGTTCACTCTATGTGGATGAAGCAATCCCGCGTGGGGCGGTTTTGCAGTGGTGACTTGATTCTCACTATAGTTTGTTCTTGTGTTGCTTTTGCTTCAGATGCCAAAGCACAATATATAGAATATTGATTATCTATTGCATGTTTGCCGTGGATAACTTAACTACAATGCAAAACTGCATAGCAATTACACGAACACATCCCGGGAAAGGAACAGTCACAGTGTAAATTCCTCACCGATTTATGTGTGTGGTGAATATCAAGACTTGGCATATGTTCTTGAAATGAACTTTCGAAAGGTATTGGCAGCTTCTCACCGGAGTGAAGTTGACACAGCAGCAGCTTGCAGCTTGGCTGCATATGTCCAGATCCTTTCTTGTTGCTTGGCTTCCCCACCAGCATCTCCAGAGAGGAACAACACCGTGCAACAAACTCAAGGAATCCCTTGACTCCTCGCCCCTGTTCTCCGTCTCAGACTGCTCTCGGAGGTTGCTTTGATTGAATCCACGCCGGGCGTTTTTTTAGACCCGCCGGGGTCCAGAAGGCGCGGCCAAACGCAGGTGCCCCAAACAGACTGGTTTTCGCTCTTAATCGTCTTAACCGTTTGGACTGGACATGTGCAATGATTGCGTTGGCAAGTTGCGTGCAGGTTGAACTTCCGAGCAGTTTTGGAGGTTCCACCACCCAGCTTCCGCGGATTTGTCCAAGAAGAGGAAAATGCGAACCCCGAGGAGTCCATGTGTGACATGCTGTTTAAAAAACATATTCATGGTGTGAACGCTACTGGCCTCACGGCATCATTTTGGGCCATGCACCGTGGAGCATCAGGATATTGTTGCGCCGGATGTTTGGGAGGACAGTTGAGACTTGGTGAGATGTGTTTGTTTGGCACGTATTGCAGAACAAAAATAAGTGAACTCTTTGAGTTTGCCGCAGCTTTCCCCCATGCTATCATGCCTCCAACATGAATCCTACCAGTGCCAAACCTCAGTTGGCGATGGTGCCGGCCCACGTTTTCTCTTTTCGCGCTCCCCATTGCTTTAGCACCGGGGTCGGCAGATTTGTTTAAAACATATATATATATATGTATACACATGTATTTATGTATGTGTATGTAGATGTCACCGTTTGGAAGGCTTTTGTGTCAAGCTCAACTGTGGTTGGTAAAGCTGCCAAACAGGGTCATCCTGAGTCATCCTGGTTGTTCGCGAGGAGGTTCGCCGATGCCTCGCGAAAGGAGGATGGCCAAAGTGTACGGATTCTGGCGTCAGGCTGGACCTAGGTCACTTCATCGGCCATTGCGGTCCATTGATGCCAAAAGCAGCAGACGATGTAGTCGTTTTTAGGCGTGCGGCAATGTTGCACCAAGAACTGAATTCCTGATGCCTTAATACAGTAGCGCTGGTGTCATGGTGCTGCTGTCGTTTGGCTTTCCGCTTTTGCTCGCTGGCCTTCATGCCAGAAATGTCTCGGTCGCAGCATGGCTACAGGATCAGCCGCTTTCATTGCATTAGTTGTGGAAGCCTTGCGTAGGGACAACTCCTGGACTTCGCACTCTGTGATTTGTTAAGGTCCGAAATTCTCAGCAGCTTGGCGCAGAAGCAAGGCTCATGTGGTGTAGTTCGACATGGTTGGTAGTGGTGCTACCATAGATCGGAAAGCCTCCAGGCTTTTCTTACAACAGCTAGAAACTGGATGATTCGGATGAAGCCAGAAGTTGATCGAGGTGAAATTACCTTCGGGCGATTGCTGCAAGTCGTTATGGCGAGGATCTCATGACCAGGAATGGTGTTTCAGATGCACCACATCCAATCCATGCTGCTTCTCACAGAGCCCAGCACCAGTGATGCGTGTTTATTCCATTGCAGTGGCTATAGGCAGTTCTAATGTTGCAAGCACTTGGCAACCACTTCCATTTGCCGCAGCTGAGATTTCCGCCAATAAATCCAAACTCTTGGGCCTTCGAGATGGTGCTTTGGTGCCCTACAAGGAATCTGAACCCTGGCGGCAATGTGAGGATTCAATCCTGCAGCTGTCAATTGACTTTCTTCGAAAGGTTGCCAGACTCACGCACAACAGAAGCCACATTATAATTGTAATATAATACAACTTATAGTACCGTGCTGCATTTTGGAAGAAATGATCTGCACCAACAAGTTCCCGATCTTCCATTTGATGTGGGGTCGGAAAATGGCCCGAGGCCAGATGAAATGGAAGAAGTACCCGGAGCCATATCCATGTTCCGATTTCTTCCATTTGAATGGTTGCAGGTGGTTTTCCTGTCAAAAAAAGAAAAGGAGAGAGAAGGAAGAAGGAAAAAGGAAGAGGAAGCGGGGAAGAGGAGGAGAAGGAAAAGGAAGAGGACAAGGAACAGGAAGAGAAGAGGAAGGGGAAAAGGAAAAGGAAAAGGAAGAGGGAGGGGAAGAAGACAAGGAAGAGGAAAAGGAAAAGGAAGAGAGGAAGGAAGAGGAAGACGACAAGGAACAAGAAAAGGAAGAGCAGAGGAAGAGGAAAAGGAAGAGGAAGGGAAAATGAAAACAGAAAGGAAGAGGAAGAGGAAGAGCAAAAGGAAGAGGAAGGGGAAAAAGAAAAGGAAGAGGAAGGGAAAGAAGAAAAAGAAAAGAAAGAGGAAAAAGACGAGGAAGCGGGGAAGAGGAAGACAAGGAACAGGAAAAGGATGAGAAGAGGAAAGGGAAGAGGAAAAGGAAGAGGAATGGGAAAGGAAAAGGAAAAGGAAGAAGAAGAGGAAGAGGAAGAGGCAGAGCAAAAGAAAGAGGAAGGGGAAAAAGAACAAGAAGAGGAAGAGGACGGAGAAAAGGAAGCGCAAGAGGAAAAGGAAGAGGAAACAAGAGGAAAGGAAGAGGAAGGGGAAAAAGGAAGAGGACAAGGAGAAGGATGTATAGTCATTGTTTCTTTATCCTCCTTGTGCTGGTCAAAGTCTTTCCTTTTTTCTTCAGGTCTTGTTGCTTTTGATTTGGTCCCTTCCTTTTCCTGTTCCTTGTCCTTTCCTTTTCCTTTTGCAGATCATGTCTTCCAAAATACAGCACGGTACTATATGTAGTGTCAACCTATGATAAATAAACCTCTCTAAATAAATGCCAATACTACTAATGCTAAAACAGTAGTTCAGACTATTTGAAGTCATGAGAGACTGGAGCCGATTTACTGATCAGAGGTGAAGATTAGAAACCAAATGGAAGAAATACGGCCAGGAAGCAAAAGGAAAAACAAACCAACAACCAATAAAGGTTTCGGAAAGTATTAGGTTATTCTCCTCTTCAGATCAGGCGACGTGCACGCGTGGAAACAACAGTCTCTCCCTGCCATTTCTGTCAGTTTTTCTAATGACAGAGCAAGCCTTTAGTACAAATGGAAGAAATTGAACACCTACTTTATGCTACAGGGTATTTCTTCCATTTGCTGTTGCCTGGATTTTCCTCGAAAAATGGATCTTCCATTCAATAAACTGTCTTAATATTTTCCAAAATACAGCACGGTACTATAATCGAGCTTAACTTCATAAGTGAGCAGTGAGCATGAAAAATCAGCCATGCCCCAACAGAGATAGATTTGTGATCGGAGTTCGCACAACTGCAAGACTGCGACCTGAGGAAGAGTACGAAAGATTTTCCAATGCTGAAGCTGGCAAGCCCACAGGTGTCAAATCAAACGAGGCGTTGAATGGCACTTATGGCGAATCCGGAACCCTTCAGTTAAGCAAGCCTTTAAGGAAAGCGACAAATGGATACACATGGATAGACATACAGTAGATATATAACTCTTATATTCGCATGGAGTTGCTCACCCCCACTCCCTTCTACCAAAAGGTGCCCCCAGAACGTAAACAATTGTTGACTGTTCTCCATCAGCATGTGCTTGACCCACATAGCCCTTGAAAACACTAGCTGTTTTGTCATGTTTTGTCCTAAGTATTGCGCGCAGATATAGACATGGATTACAATGTCCAAGATCACCGTGTTTCTCTCTTTGCCGGGCATTGCTCCTGGCCAGTCATTCATCGAGACCTGGGAAGATCTGCGAGACTGCCTTCGCAGCTTTGATGAGCAGGGCTTTGCTTGCAAGTGTGCAACTCGCGGGAACTCGCGGATGTTTGTTGCCCCTTCTGCCCTCGGTGTGTGTGTGTGTGAACTGTCGCATTTTTGTGATACTTGGAGATGTATCCACAGCAGCCCAGGCAAGCTCATCTACATGAGCCCGAGGCAAGAGATTGAGATCTCCCAGGTGAAACTGCAGTGTCGTTCCAAACTGCGGAAGGACGAGTTCTGGACAAATGACAGCGGTTGGATGTTTGACATGCCAAGATGCGGGTTGAATGTAAACCGCTCAAACATGCTAATTATGCTGGAGTGTGTGTTTTGAGGCTGTTCAAGGTGTTTTGGAGTGTTTTGTTGTGAGATGGTATGAGAGCATTCGGTCATGTGATGGAATCACTGAAATCACTGTGGCCGTGTCCAGGCTGAGGGCAGCTGCTGTGTCGTTCTTGTTTCCTTCCACTTTGGCACTTTGTGACATTTCTTGCCGTTTCACCGTGTCAATCAAATGGTTCTCAGCCACTCCAGGAGCTGAGCGAGACCGTCTTTGGTCACCACTCCCTGTCACGGCTTTTGGAGGACGAGAGGCGTCCGACGTTGGCGGCCCTTCTTCCATCCATTTTGTCCATGTTCATTCTTTGCATTTTTTGTCTTGCAAGTCCAGACGCCCTCACATTCAACACCCCCGCTGGGTTCGAAGTAATGCCGAGTACCTTTTAAAAAACGCTGGCCAATTTAAAACATGCGTGTCGGAAACCCAGAAAATAGGATATGTACCTGTGTATATAATCTAATTTATACACATTTCTACCTTTTTAACCTTCTACGAAACCAACAACGTTGGCAATTTATGGTTGTTTTGTAGGTTTTTTTTTCACAATTAACGTTCCAGAAAACAACCCAAACTGTCCACGTTTGTCCCACCCGCTAGAAACACCAATCGTGCTCTGCGTTTACACACGCCTGCGCACCCTTCACTGACAGGTTTCTTGAAACACCTTGTTCTTTTTTCAAGGGCTGCAAGGGCCCTTGTCTCTCACAAGATCACATGGACAATCATTGACATATATATATATAGTTAAACAAGTTGCCAAAGCTTCATGTTTTACGCATATGACAGGCCTGACGGGCTTGCAGCCTGTGACTTGCCACGGATTGCATGTACGGTATATTCTTGGATCCTTGAGCGGTTTGGAATTGGTATCATCTTGTAAGACAATGTGCATCCTTCATCCACAGCTTTTAGCCGCAGGCTGAGTGACTTCGAAAGGACGGGCGATCCAACCACCAGGTGCACATTGCATTCGACATATGAAAACATATTAAAGCCATGTGGTTTTTGGTCCTTTTGCTCATGGTGAGAGGCCTTGCATCACCTTGCGGGGGAGCCAGGAACTCAATGAACTTCTTGACTCATGCAGACACATGTTCCCCACAGGATTCCAAGATTTAGCCCCAAGGCAGAGTCACAGCGAAAGCTTATGAACTCAAATCCAAAGGAACCGCTAGCGGCGCAGGCGCCACATGTGTGTGCATGTGGTCATGCTCTTCAAAGGATTTCAGACTGTGTGACCCAGACACCTTGATACAACCTTGCTAAAGGGCGGCCCTGACAGGTGAAGGAGAAGATCCCTGGACAGATCCATCCAAGGACGGCCTTGTGTTGTTCTGATGTACGATGCTGGTGCAAGATTAAGTTTCATGCGAAAAAATAACGAATACCGGGAATACTTTATGTTCTTGTAATAGAATGCTCTTCCACTGCTTGCAGTTGTCGATGTTCATTGTGTCTCAGATTTCACGCACTCCCCCAAATGTGCATTGCAAGCCCTTTAGTACTTTAGTCTAGACAGATATACGGATGTTTGTTGGGGGAAAGAGCTGAGCCACAGCACGTGCACGGCCCACACAGGTGTGCCAACACAGCGGTGTGCACGACCATGTGCATGTTGTAACTAGGGGAACCATGATCCGACGTACATTGGGCTCACCAAGACTCAATGCAGGATCGTAGTATATACTGCAGGATATTGACTTGCTGAAAGTAGCGAAGAAAGAGCAACCACCCCTGATGCATCATCCGTGCTCCGCACAATCGGCAGGCCTCTTTGAAGTGCTTCACCGCTTCCAAAGATCATGCATTGCATATCACGTAGACGTTTCTGTGCCCCTCAATAGCATCCAATAGCATCCAATAGCTATATTTGGTTGGGGACCATCTTGTATTTTTGCTGGCTTGGTCTGACCGCAGGACCCGTGGAGTGGCGCCAAGGGCAAAGGCAAAGACGGCAAAGGCACTGCGGTAGTATTGAGTGACTGTTGATGTATAAAACACCCTCAGATTGAGAGGTGGAACCATTGCAGAAGGGGCTTGATTAAGCAACAGAGTCAACACGAGTTGTGGAGGGCAGGCGTTTCCAACACTTGCACACCAGTACGTTGTGATCAGCTGATGAAAGCGAACCGAGGTGCCAAGAATATGCTGGCCAAAGCGTTGCCAGCTAATTCGGCTGGAAAAGGCCTGGGAGACTTGCACTACTGGATTGTTGAATGCTTTGGTATGCTCAGCCATTGTTTGTTTCAGTCTTGGCGACTTCCCTGCGCGATTGATAGCCATAGCCGCCATTTGGGGTGTGCGCCTGGAATGTGAGGTGCCAAGGTCAACGAACCAGCCAAGGCACCTGCCAAAGACCCCCCTGGCAAGTCAGGCGCGGTGGTGAAGTCGACAGGATTTCTCGTTGAAATGCTTGATGTTTCAGTGACACTGCGCAGTTGGACCCGTGCAAACGATGAATGAGACAAGTATCTGAGAACCGCCATTATTGACGTGAATGGGGCGGCTCCAAGCATGCCCAGCCGATATGTTTCCGTCTGCGGCAGATAAAGACTTCATGGAGGCTGAGATTCTGCTGGCCGAGGGTAAAAAGGCAACTTTGAAGGCCAGTCCAAGCTGCTTGTTGGCAGAGCTCTGAAGAGCCGCCAAAAAGCAAAGCCATTATTAGGATCCTTTAAAGATCCAGTGTTTGTCATTGTTCCCCTGCTCCCATGAAACGGCCAAAAACATTTGGGAGGCCCTCAAACACTTTTGTTGGTCTTGTTGCGGAGCGCGCCGTACATCCAGAGTCATGCTTGCAGTAACCGGACAGCGGGTGGCGAGTTTTTTGCAGTTGATGTAGTTACAATCTGTTACAATGCTTGGGTGAACGAGTGTTTTGCGCAAACCGTATGTCAGTAGCAGATCCCTACCCCCTTGAGCTACTTCCGGGAGGGGGGGCCTCAAAAAAGTAAGTTACATTTTAGGGTACCCCCCTAGGGGGTCAAAAAATGTAAGTTACCCCCCCCCCAGGCACCATC